ATAGTGTGTACAATGAAAAAAGAAGACATATTCGCATTAGAGATGGTGAGGTGAAATAATTATTAAAACATAGTATTATTTCCTTAGAATATGTAAGGTCCGAAAGAAATTTGGCGGATCCTTTAATCAAGGGTTTGGCAAGGAGAGTTATCCTTGAAACGTCGATGGGGATGGGGCTAAAGCCCATGGATGGAGGAAGTATGGTGGATACCCGTTCGTGATCAAACGAAGCCATATGAGACTTCAATATGCACTATATTTCCTATCCCTATGACGTGTGGTAGTGCTTTATAAGGTTGAGCCTATTTTGGTCTTAATGATTCCATAGCCTTAAGGTGGTCTATATGTTGATAGACTTGATGGAATCACCTACGTGAGTGTAAAGGTGCGGTCTCCTTTTATGAAAGACTTGAGATATCTTTCTAGAGCACTCATGAGACCAAAGGTGTGCGCATGACCATAAAAGCACTTTATTAGTATCGCAGAGTTTGCATAAAATTAAGGATATAGTATGTGTATTGAGGGTCTCAACTCATGTCCATTCAGTTCAAGAGTACTTCACTTTGTGGATATTAGTCATTGCCTCATTTCACTACGTGTCAATTCAAATCAAAAGATATTGACACTTAAGTACATGTTCCTTCCTTTTGCCCGGGAATTATTCTTATCTTTATCTTTGCATTAGTGGGGGATTGTTAGTATTATTCCTCTTTAGACGTTACTCTAATTTGATAATGCAAAGAACAAAGAACACTTCTAATCTACAATTAATCCGTAGTTAATTGTCATACCTCTCCACCATTAATTTATTATAATATTTTTAGATTTTATGTATACTCAAAGTGGGAGAATGAAGTTACTACTTCATAAATGGTTCACATTCATTCATATGACAGTTTCTTAACTTTTGTGACTTCGTTTGTGAAAAGATACAACTTTTCATAAGGTTTGAAGTTACTGTCTTTATGACAATTTTGTCATTAAACCAAAAATAAATGTTACATAACATTAACTCACATTTGGCCTCTTACGATTTTCTGATGGAAGAAAACGTAAATGATTTGCCTATATAAACATCATCATTTGTGAGCTAAAACACCAATCAAAAATATTATTTTCTCATCCTCTCAAAAGACTATTCTTCTTCCTATTTTTCCTAGGCAATTCTTTTTTGCAAACTCCAAACTTCCAGCCACGAGTGCACGTATTTGGAAGTACTGTGGAACCTTGGGGAGCGACCGGTCTTAACGATTTGCACCCAGTCGGACCAAAATCGCTTTCAAAATAGTGGCTTGCCACGGCACAGTATTTATTCGATAAATTATTTCTATTCTTGGTCAATATTATCTACTATTTTTCTTACATCGGACATCAAATCAAAAACAAAAGGCAAAAGGCACGACAAACTACGTGGGAAGGACTCTAGAGGTTTGGCTATTGAGTGGATAACTCTCATACAATTTTGAGTAGGTGTCATTACTTGTAAAACTTTATTGTATTTATTACTCGTGTTTGATGAAAAAGCTAAAATCTTTGCTATTACAGTTACATTGAAAACAGAATTCACTACTAAAGTAAAAGGTCAAATGAAATATTTGGAAGTTTTCATTAATTTAAGCGATCAATATTTTTTCAACAATTCGAATATGTAAACATAAATACCTAAACAAGTTTCTAGTAGTAGTAATAACCAGTAGAAATAATATATAGTTTCGATGCGATATTATCAGTCTTTTAAGATTTTTGGATATCCTTATAAAAATGCATTTAATTAATGGTTTAATCCTACAAGTTTGACTTTGACAGATAAAAAAACAAAGGAAGGTCACTTCTGTTGGGTGTATTATCACGTAATCAAATAATTTGCAGTGCACGACTGCACAATTAACAATCTAAGTATCTAACTATTAAACAACAGTTGACCATATCAATAAATAAATTCAATTGATTAACTTAATATATTTATATATAAAAAATAGTTTACTAAAGGTAGTACAATTTATCTCTGTCCCTTTTGTTTCTTGAAAAAGTGTAAAGGTTCTTATTTTTTCCTAGTGTCAAGGTTAAGTATCCTACTTCTTTCTTTGTTTCCCAACATTATTTTTCGACACTATTTTCAGAAATTATTTTCCGTATCTTTTTATTCTAATCCACTGGTTGGTTCAAGCGGAGGAAAATACGTATGTTTACGATTTTTTGTCTTCTTCCAAAAATTAAAGAAAGCTTTTATAATTCAATCTAAGTTCAGTTAGAGAGTACATCGATTTTCACACCTCTAATTTAGAAAATAAAATGAAATTACAAATTCGAAGTTCTTGCAACTCAAATAACTAGATTGAAATCATCCATATTCCTAAGACCAAGTAAAATAGCGATTAGTTCAATTCTTATATTATTACTTGAAGCGTTAAATAGTTTTTTTTTTAAAAAAAATTAATATTGAGTCTTTTCGAATGTTTTATTTACTTTTTCTTTACGTAGTTCTTAAAAACGTAATATTGAGAAGTTGATGTATGAATTTATGCTGTAATTTGAACAGCATTGTTTTTTGTTGTACGTTATATTCGTGAGTTGTTTCATTTGTACATTGAATAATGACTAGAGGGAGCAACTCCAGACCCACCACGTTGATATGGATGAAACGTACATTGAATATAACTAGCTAAGAAGGGTCCTGTCTATTTCAAATGAAAAATAAATAAAACAAGAAAGAAGAAAATAAAAGGAAAAAATAGCACACCAAGAATATCAGAATATGGTCTACGTCCCGATCAATAAAGATGGATGAAAATAGAGACCAGAATTTTAATCTGATAAAGACAAAAATAACGTTTAGTGATTTCTTCAAATCTTCTTAAGCTTCACATAAAATTAGTCTGGCACTTATGTTAGTTAAAGGTGGCCACTAAAATAATAATAATTTCGTGGTTAATATATCGCTAAATCGCTCGCTCGTAGCTAACAAATTTTTTTGATAATTAACCTATCGCTAATTCGCTGCTAAATAGGATTAGCGATTCTGTTGTTTAGCTATAGAATTTGTCTGTCGCTAATTTCTATTTTTTTTTTTTTTAGTAGTAGGCAAATACTCAAATTAATAATAAAGTGCGCACAAACTAACTAGGAAAAAAAAAAAGGAAAATCAAATAAAGATAAAAGATGAGAAGTCTTGTCTAAATTCTCTATGGAGTGAGTTGACTAAAAACATTTTGAGTAGCAAATATCATATGGAGCTAAAAGCATTAAGAAATGTGGAGGCAATACTTAGTTTTATTCTTATCCACATAACTTTATATGGAGGCAAACGGCATCTTTTTGTGGGCAACCAAATTCTTCTCTAAATCAAATCCCATATGATTGTATACACAATATTCGTCTCATCTCATCTCATCTAATAATTGAGAGAGAGCCTATATTTTACAATTAAATATATACAAAAACTTACAATTTGCACGTGTTCATTCCACCTTGAAACAAAATAATAACACTATACTTTTGTTGATTTTTTGAGTTCTCAAGTTGTTTGAGTTTATTAGGTTTAAGCTATGATAGATATCCCATGTTCACAAGCATCAGAGAATGGTTGTTAGGATAATACTTTGTAAATATTAAAACATATTACTCCAAGGTTATATTTTAAATAGATGATTCATAGCAATACTAATTGATGTTTGTTGGAATATTAGGTGTAAGATATAAGATAATTAAGCAATTTAAGGTTTTAAGTCGAACCTCTTCCTGAAAAAGATCTCCATTCATGTAAGTACAATTTATCCATAACAGTTAAAGTATCAACATGATGTAATATAAGGTAAAAAAAAAATTAACATTCTTTTAACATAGAAGACGAAGAGTCATATTGTACCGAAATCACTTTATCTGATAATCGAGATTAAAAATGCTTAATTAGATGAGGATCAAGATTAAAAAATGTCAAAACTAAGGAGCAAAGCTCTTTTATCTGCATATATATATTCACAAAATATGATTTTATGCTACTGTTTAATGGAGCAAATGATCTCTTATATCCACTTATGATATAAATAGAAGAAAATGACCAATCAAAACCAATAGAGACGTGAAAGCTCAAATCCAAGACCTCTTAGCTTTATGAGTTAAAAGAGGTCCGAATAGACGATAGGCCATCTTTTAAAATACCAATACCAAACAGCAGATTCAGCAGAAAATGAAATTAGGGCAATTTTCAGTGACGCCCCTTAAAGTTTTTACTTATACACTTACATCCCTTTGGGAAAATTAACTTTTCAAACTTTCAGTTTTAACTCATCAAAATATTTCTCGAGCTAACAGTCCTCCCCCCTTGCTTAGCCGCTAATGGCATAAATATTTGTCCAATATTACAACTTGTTAATGAATGCGCATTAGTACTAAGAACAAATATAATATCATGGGATAAAAATAAGACTTAAAACCCAATGTGCACCATACTTAGGGCTAGTTTGGTACAGGGATAAGGGATAATTAATCTCAGAATTAAATCTAAGATGAGTTTATCCCACATTTAGTTGGGAGAAAATCGCGGTATAACTAATACCGAAATTAGTTATCCCGTGAATGTAGTGTTATTTTTATCCCTATGGAAGGGTGAGATAATAATTCTGGGATAATTAATCGTAGGATAACTTGTTTCCAACCAAATGATATAGTTGGTATTAGACTAACGAAGGAAACGACTTCCTGTGGGCGCAAGGGTCTATTGTTGTTGGTTTTTGATAGAGAAAGAAAGAGTGTGCAGTTATACGCAATGAAGCAGTCACATTAACATGATCCTCAAATAAAAAGCTTAGCTTACCTCCGCTTGTGGTTGTCTCTGACATGCAATGCTACAATATTTAACAGCTATTCAGTAAAACGGCAACAGGCTGAGATACGTAGTATTAAAACCAAGTATACTAGATATTCTGATCAGACATAAATATATGCAGCCAAATCTACAGAAGGGAACAAAGACTACAGTCAATCAGAGAGCAAAGATGAAGTAAAACAGATGAAAACAAAAGTCAGTGAATTGAACCAAAGTTGTTAGAAGCTATCAGAACTAAGTCTAGAATGCTGGTACCGCTAATGCAGCAACAATATGCTGCCAAAGGTACTATACAATGTGCATGTCTATTTTACACTAGCCAACCCGAACTAGATTGGAATTGAGCTGTAGTTGTTGTATTCTCTCACTACCAAAAAGATACTAATAATGCAAATAAAGGTTAAAAAACATACTCTGTTTTAGTTTCTATAATTCTCTCTTTTTTATCTGATATCTGCCTAAAAGTATCTGCTTTTGTTAGCTTTTACTGTAAAAATTCCCTTGCAGTCTTCATACAAGTAGAAAGTCAATCCTAACCCTTCGACAAGGACAGAGGAGGGAACTCATCTTCATTCTTAAGGCGCAATGGATGTTCTGCAGCCCTGAAAGCAAAATTAGACTGACTTAGTTATCGTCTGATAACAAACAAAGACTACACTGCTACTCCACAGTCCGAAAATAGTAAAACAGGAACTTCTCTTACCTTTCTTGTTTACTACATACAGATTCTGGAAGCTGCACCTTTTGCGGGACACTAATCAGGAGCACGTCATGAGAAGTGCATGAAAGCGCATCTTCAGAAAGATTCCCCAGAGATCCAAACTCAATTATACATGATGAATGCGAGAAATCATTGGCATGAAAATCTTTGAGGAGCTTATCAGATTGGCTAGCTACAGCAAACTTTCCACGACCTTGAGCAGAAGATTGCACAGCTGAAATCTCTACTGTACACTTTTCTGAACGATTTGCATCGGAAAGAGCAGGAACCCACTTATTACTATGAGTGCCACTATGCATATGCAACTGACAATGATTTCTTGGTGCCTTAATCCTAGTCCTTCCTTTACACCGTATCTCCTGGAAAGAATAATTCTGCAAGACACCAAAATATGAGTCTTCGTAAGGGGGTTGCTTTTCAAATCTTAATGACATGGTCAGATATTCCTGAAAGGAAAAAGGAGGGTGATACAAAAAAGGTATCTAGCTTACGAAAAGGGAGACTTATCTGAACAAACTGAGATATAATAAAGATGGGAAATAAGGAACTACAGACTGTAAGAGCAAACTACCGAATTCGGGAAGTAGGTGCCAATTCCTTGTGCCGTTTCTTCCTTCTCAGAACCTAAAGCAGCAGTAGATGGTAGAGAATTATCAGGACGGTGAACAGCTGGTCCTACAAGCATACCATTCACATTTGTTTGCCAAAATGAGTTCTGTCTAAGTGGCATCGATTGCCGCACAGTATCCCAAAAGTGCTTGTTCTGACATTGAGATGGTGATGATGGACTATTGAGTACTGGTGCTGACAGAGAAAAACCATAGCAACACTGGCCATAGAGCAAACTCCGTATATGGCTGTCATAGTCCCCACTTAAGTCCACCAAAGGATTCAAAGCTTCAACATCTCCGGCTGTGCTCGCCAAGTCCCTTTCCCCTATATCGAGAAATAAACTTTCTAGAATACTGGTCTTTGGACTTGAGATTACTGAACCACCAGACCAGACGCTCTCGCTATAATCTGTACCTGATTGGTATATGCTGCTGCACTCCAGAGCGAACTCTCTGGTTTCTACCCACAAACCATAATCAGATAGGTCACTTTGGCACAGATTCTCAGGCCCAGAGTTTCCATTTTCAACATATGATTTATTGAAATGAAACGGAGGATCATGGTAATGCTTCCTAGAAAGAAAATTCATGGAGTTTCCATTAAAACAACAGTCATATGTTCCATTTGCAACATCAAGATTTAGAGGATCAGAAGCTGAATGATCACTTGCATCCGTAGATAGACAGAATCCTGACAAGGCTGCATCATCTGGAAAGGAGCCACTTTCTGACACCATATCTGAAGAAACTCCATTCATTAAGTTACTCGACAACTCATTTGATATTGATTTAAATACCTTTTTCAGACTATCATTCTCAAAATCACCATCGGATGATTTCAGAAGCATTCTATTGTCAGAATAAGATTCAGCAGGGGATAATGAAGAACATGTGTCTTCGTCACCAAATATTAGGCAGGAATCTTGTAAATCAGCCAAAAGATTGTGTCTACACCTCTCAATAGTGTTTGCGAAGAACTTCTTGATCTCATCGGCAACTCTATCAGATGGTAACGAAAGAATGTTCCCAAGCTTGCGGGCCCCATACCTAAAAGCTCTTTGTATTCGACAGAAACTCCCTGGAGGGAATCAAAGCATAACTTACGCATGAGATAAAGTAACACACACCACCTAAACACCAACCCGAAGCACCAAAAACATGCTCTTTCCGGGAATAACATGACAACACATTTTCTTTTTCCAAAACTTCTCTTGTACAGTCATAATAACTCTTAAATGACTTTATCTACTCTTCTGTAGGCAATCATAGAACATATCGCTCATATCTAACTAGAGGTGGTACTAGTTGTTAAGCCAATAGAACTGCATGGTCACTTAGCAACATTTTAGTACTTTTGGTTGCTCTGGGAAAAACAGAATGCAAAGATAAAAATATAAAGACCTGGCTGAAAGCATCCAAAACAAATTTGGTAATAATCTCTTTTGTGGCCAAAACAACAGAATCAGATCATTAGGCTCCTATTCCTCATATACTCTTTGAGTCACCAAAGTACCAGAGAAGGGAAACAAAAGGACGCTGCATTTCCTATGTGATATTCTAGTAAACCACATAAAGAAATCATTTAAGTTGTACCTCTGTTGACACTACGGCCAAGGTTGTTATTTTCCTTCAAGGGGTCAACTATATTTAGATACTTTTGTTGAAATACTCGTGTGTCCACCTCAAGACNAGTAATCTATACAAGGACGTAGACATCGAAAAGAGATTGCAGGCAACAGCAAAGATGAAAGGAAGGGCATTGCCTACCTAATATGTCAGGAGATGATTTGCATACTGGACCATTCAAACTGATACAATAGTTGTCCCAATCAAATTTGCTGTAGTAATCCAAAAATCTATAGAGAACCTAAAAGCAAGCATAAACAGGATATCCAATAAACTTATGCACAAAGCATAATGCACAAAGTCAAAATGCACCAAAACAAGTAATTACCGCTAGAGGACCATTTAACGAAGAATGGAACAGATGGAATATAAATAAGACCAGTGTTTCCAAAGCATATGTGGAAATCAGACCATGATGTGCACCAAGAATACGACTTTCATAATAGCACCAAGCCTTTATCAAAATAATGCTACGTTTGAAGAGATGATTTTTCCCAACAAGGCGATCTACCTGCGCTCAAGAAACAAAGAAGCCAACAAGAAGAAAAATCAGCTGCTCATTGCCTCGATCAACATGAAAACAGAAGAATAAAAAATATCAACAACAACAACAACAACCCAGTGAGTTCCCACAAGTGGGGTCTGGGGAGGGTAGAGGGTACGCAGACCTTACCCCTACCCCGGAGAGTAGAGAGGCTGTTTCCGAAAGACCCTCAGCAAGAATAAAAAATATCAACTAAAATAAAACAGAAGATATTTGGTTCTCCAAGTTTTTGAAGGGAATAGAAGGATAATGAAGCAAAAAATCCAGACAGTTTAAAAAGACATTAAGCTGACAGAGACAAATAAACAACTAAAGGCTATCAGATATTTTTGTTTAGAAAGCTAAAATATAGCTCATTTCAAGCACAAATTGGATAATACTGCAGAAAGGAGGGATATATGGATGTCAACACCCACCATTTTCCAGGTACAGCTGCTTCAGCTTAACCAAGACATGCTAAAATTTTGCACGTAATAGTCTACGTAACAAAAAGTAAAGCACAATGGCACTATTACATTGACACGCTGTCATTGACACCTGCAACCAAGCACCTATAATATAATGATAAGAATTTAATTGTTAACAGTCAACTTTGTAAATTACCTGCTCAAGGAAACAAAGTGTGCAAAGTCCACCTAACTGATTAAAGGATATATCTATCACAGTATTTTGTACAAGACATTTCACCAGCTTAACCTGCCATGAGAAATTCCAAACTTCTCAATACTAAACAGATAAAAAATTAGCAGTTAAGCATAAAAATAGTGAACTACTATTGATAGCCAAACCAATAGACAGTATTACAGACTCTACAAAACAACCTTCAAATACAATAAACATTCTTCAAGCAACTAAAAGCACAAGCCTCCCCTCACCCCCAAAAATTACTAGGCATGGAAAAAAACCCCTTTGCTTATGCTCAACTATCCTTAGGTTGCAGGATATCGAAATAAAAACTCTTCGAACTATTTGAAACAGCAAAGAACAGTGAAATACTTCATCCAATTCAGTTAGTTTTACAGATTCTGAAGGTTTGAATACACTTGTCATTATTAGTCAGGAAAGAACCTCTGCATCAATAAATTGGGGATCCTTGACATCATACTCAGCAACTTCTTTTTGCTCTTCTTCCTGCAGAACAGCAAGAACATCACGGCCGAATGTTTCTTCTGTAATAGAACTGCTAAAAACAGTCAAATCAATGTCACCATCAGGAAGGTAGGTCTTCAGTGGCACTGATCCATATGGGAAGACCTGTACGACAAACAAGTACCATCAGTAAAACTCAATTAAGATAATGAAACGCAAGATATAACTTACAAACTATTTCAGTTTAAGGTCTGAAACAACATCATTCAAGCTTCATCAGTTAGTAAACTTGAACACAAATCACATAGTTCAAGCACAACATGTAATCTTATATAAGCTTAGCTTTCAAGTTCAAGCACACCAGACTAGGCAATATTGAAGCTGATGCAGCTAAGGTAGCAGGACGTAATTTCAAGAGAAAAAGATGTTCAACCATTCTATGAACAAATAAAGCAAGAGAAGACTTGAATACTTCAAATGTATAGACTTACTCAATTTAGCGGCTGGAACGATCAGATTCATTATTGACTAAGTTATGCATCTAATAGCATTTGGCTTATAAAAATGTAGAATTCCTAAGAACTTAGAAAAGAAAAGAATAAAAAATGAGTCATGCATTTCAGTTTAACTCATATGTGTTTGATTAAAAGCAGAAATTAGCTTCCTGAAGTTGAATTGATTGAAAGGTGTACAAAGAATGCTTAAAGGAACAAAAATCACTTGACATGAAATGAAAGAAAAGTAGTTACAAAAGTGAATATAACCAGCCCCTCCAATAAAGAAACAGCTTAGTGCTATTTATTACTATTAGCTCTCTAGATCGACTACTAAAACATCACTTCTAACGCAGTGCGATAGGTCAAGACCCGATGCTCTTAGCCAAAAAAGTGTTTATACTTTTATAAGTGAAAATTATTACAATGCAATTCAAAGTAGTTACACTTTTTGTACTAATCATGACAATAAAATCGTTAACTACCATTCTTCTTCTTCTTCTAACTTGGTTTACCGAAAGTACATGAACTTAAGATAGGAGTAAAGCTGCCAGAACCAAATTTTGGGCTAAACACTACAATCGACAATAGTACTTGTAATAATTCTAGAACTGAGGAGATTCCCTCGAGGTTGAAGAGCTGGAAAAAACCTTGGGAACCAAGGTTCCAATCCTAGCAAAGTGAACACTAAGTAAATTCTTCTCATCTGCCTAAACATGGTGACTCGGTACCTGTGCTGGTGAGAGACAGCAGATACCTGGTGGATTAGTCAAGGTCGGCACAAGTTTACACAAACACCAACACCAACACCACCTCACGATTAGTCAAGGTCAGCACAAGTTTACACAAACACCAACACCACCTCAGTCCCAAACAGGTTGGGATCGACTACATGAATCTTCACTTCTTTCTTTAAGCTCAACATATATCATCATCATATCAAATAAAAAAAAAGTGGCAAATAAGTAGACGCAAACACCATTGTTATTAAAAGAAAAAAGCTTTTAATACTTAGGTAAAACTGTAGCAGTAATGCTAAAAAGAAGAAAAAGAAAATCTACGTCTCTTTTACTTCCCCTTTGCATTCATACCATCTTAAGATTGGTAGAATATAATCTGAGATTGTAAACAACATTAAATCGACCCTTATATGTTCAGCCGATATGAAGAAAACATCAAATAAAAGGTAAAACGTCATTTTCTGACCTCCTGCAGGTTGACCAAGCCCCTACCCCACCCCCACAAGCACACCCACGTTATTTTCAAAAAGAAGGTATCAATAGAAAGTTAAAACGATTGAACCCAAGGGTGTTGCGAGTGGTCAATGGAGTGGGAGGAAAACCATGAAGTCTCAGATTCAAACCTTGCAGAGGGAAAAAAGACACTTAGGTGATTTCGTCACATTTGCCTAAGTCTTGGTAGGTAGAGTTACTCTAACTCGATAGAACAGTAGGGGTGCGTGCAAGCTGGTATGTATACCATCATCATAAAATAGAAAGCATAAAAAATCGTGATACATCATTGAGATAGCAATGGAACATATAACCTATAGATACGCAAAAGGCCTCGCGACGAAAAATTATGAGATATCACTTAAAATTAGCTGCAAAACATTTAAGTTGTACAGATAATCTAGACAATCAAAATTCACCTCGCATCCAAGAGAGAATTTGATGAGTCTCTGGACGTAATCAATAACGGCTTTCCTCTTTTCCTCAGTGTCAAGTGTTGGATGAACACAATTCACCACTTCTTCTGTAGCTTCTTCAGCAACAGCCAAACAATCCTCAGTAACTGTTAAAGGATCAGGACTCAAAAAACTCCAACCGTTCTCCATTTCAACTCGGTTTCCGTTTCCACAAGAACCCATACCAAAAAAAAATCTGATTATAGCCAAGCAAAACGTAGGGTTTTAGAGGCCATTGACAACAAGGGAATGTTCTAGACAAAGGGATGGGAATAGAGAGACAAAGTGAGAAATAAGGGGTAATGTGGAAAAGGTGCTATATATAGAATTTTTGTATGTTTTGAATATCTGTAATCTGCTTTGTATTGTATTAATATCAACCTAATATCAAAGAAGAAGAAGAAGAAAATGGAACGTAAAATTCGGGAGAAGGAGACAATTCTCAATTGCCCCCACCTCCCCCTTTTGTATCCCTCTGTTGTTGTTTTCTTCGTCAAAATCAAAAACTTCCTTCTACTTGCAACTACGTGTATATTTCGTATATATGTACGTATATTTTTTGGGCTTTTTTCGTTGGGAAATTCTGTTATTGTTGTCAGACAATCACGTCTGCCGAGGGGGTAAAGGTTGCGGCGTAACGCGACGCCGCGAAAGAGGGTGGCGCTATTGTTCAAATGCCGTTATTGGAAAAAGCATATCATAACCTATGTAATTTTGTCACTTTTAATTTTGGACTCGAAGTCAATATATATTTATGTGTCAAAAATAATTATAAATTATAATACTCACACTTTTTAATTTAATATCCATTGACTAGCATCAATTATTTAAAGTTTGAGAATAGATTAACGATATTACTCATTCCGATCCGTAATAAGTCACTTTTAAGTCTTCGATATAGCCTTTAAGAAAATACGAACTTGAAAAATATATGTATTCACTAAATTATCCTTAATTAATTGTTACCTTGACACATTGAAATATGTAAATAATGACAAATATTAAATAAAATAAAATTAATTTCTTTTTGAATATGTAAAAGGACACTTATTTTGGACCAAAATAAAATTAGTATTTACTAATTTTTGGTTCCAATAATATAAAAATACAGAATTTAAAAACTTATTTAAACTAATTTGTAAGAGTCATTTCAGTTATCTTTCGTCCATATATCTAAGTTCTACGAAATCCATAGTAATATTTACTTACTAATTTTGGTTCAAATGATATAGTAACAATTAAACAATAAAAATATTATGTGAAATAATTTTAAATTTTGAAATTTGCCTCCATCTTACCCACTCACCCTCTCAAAAGAATCCCACACTCTTGTTTTGGTAAATTTCTAAAACAAAAGAAAGAGAATCCGGAACTCGTCTTCGTGGATTTTATTCCAATGACAAATTAGCTAAGAGAATTATGAATTTATCTTTTTGGGGTAGGATAAAGAAGAAAATAAAATAAATGTATCTAATTTAGTTTTCTTAATTAATATTTTCACATTTGTGAAAACAAGACAATACGAGGTTATATTATACGTAACTATTTTATTTTTTTTATTTTTTTCTAATACGACAAATTCTATCATCTAATGAATGATAATTTATTTATATACGTACTTTATGTCATTTTATTCAGTTGAGTCAACTATAGTTGAACAATTGGTCCTTTTAATATTTTTGGTCCTAACTAGAGGGTTTGCTATGATGGTAAGCAACTTCCACTTCCAACCAAGAGGTTGTAAGTTCGAGTCACCCCAAGAGCAAGGCGGGGAGTTCTCGGAGGGAAGTACTGGGTTGTTGCTGAGCAAATTTTACCTCGCTTATTTCGTAGCATATGACAAAACAAATACTATAAGATTCAAAATTCGTACTTTCTGGTGGACCACTTGGGGGTGGACCATCTTGATATTTAGAACTTGAAACGTTTTTTGAATGCATCACATTTTAATAAAAGGACGAAAATGAGACAATTATTTCCTTGCAAGATTTAACAATTTGTGAGAGTAAAAAGTGGAATAAAACAAGCATAATACAAAGGTTTCCAAGTTTAGGGGAAAAAATTTATCCTTACCCGCATTTTTGTCAAGCTAAAAAATTTAACATTAAAAGTTATCCCTTCTGTTCACTTTTAGTTGTCTACTTTTGATTTTACACTCCTTTTAAGAAAAAATAAACGAAGTATTATTTTATAATTTTATTCATAATAATGATAAGATTAATTTGGGGTATAAGTAGTTAATGATAAAGGTAAAACAGGAAAAAAAAAAAAAAAAAAAAAAATTGTCTTTCTCTTAGTTCGGTATAGTGGACAAGTAAAAATAAACGGAGGGAGTACAAATTAAAGTATCAACATATATCACTTAACCGCATGGTTCATGGTTAAGCGAATAATGTCATTTATATAATATACAAATATTTTATATTCATTGAATGATTGTAAATAAATAATATTTTTACATTATTATAGTAATGAAAAAATATGTATTTATTACCTTAGTTCAATATCAAGATAACATGTCAAGTGCGACCATGTGAAGACCAACTTGCTTGTCGAAAGAGGAGTTTCGATCTCTCTCTCTATGTTGAACAAAGAAAAGAAATATTGGAGAAATACATTATAGAGTGAGCATAAATTACTAAATTAGAGTAAATTAATCTTTCCCATTGCACATATAACCTAAAACTTGTTATCTCAATGTGTTATTAATTTGTCGCTTAAACATATTTTCAACAATTATTGTCCTATGAAGTGACACTGAATAGAGATATTTGGAGTTAAAACTATTCGTCTTGACTTTAGCATAGGAGGAAAATCCAAACTTCTTTATCCATCTCGTATTTTCAGAATTCTGTTGCTCGGCGGGCCACACAAGTCTAAGGATTATGTCACATCCTCCTCTCTCCGTCTCTACACTTATACGAGAGACCATAATTCTTGTTTTTTCTTTGTTTGTTGTACATTATGTAAGCTAGTTACTAAAAGGTTTTAAATTAGAGGAATTTTCATAAATCACTATTGTTTAGTGGATATTAACTTTCTATAGTTATCATATACATAATTACTTACCATAGCTACTATTTAGTTGTTACAGTAATGTATTCGCTGTATTTGCGTTGCTGTATTCATGAATACAACAGCAAAAAGCGTCTAAAATCAGGGCAGTCCAGCTGTACGCGCATGTATTCGCGCCATGTATTCATGAATACAGTAACGGCAATCACCTTAAAAATAGGTATGTCCAGCTGTCTAATAACGGAAATAATATCAATTAACGTGATACACTCCAAATATAACTCAACAAAATCAATTCTAACATGCCTCATTATCAACCCAATTAATTAGAATAATTTTTCAGTTGTATATAACTGTTGTATTTAGTGTGTTTTAATATATTTTTTATTGTTGCATTCATTAGATTCAATATTTGTATTTATTGTATTCGCTATTTTATATTCAGTGTATTCAAATGTATTTGTATTAATAGTATTTTAGTTATTCCTAATATATGTTATTATTGCTGTATTCAGTATATTTCATTGGTTGTATTCACTGTATTTCCATTTGTATTTAGTGTATTTTACTGTATTTCATTGTATTTTAAAATTAAATATATTCGTTGTTTATATTTTGTTCTATTTTAATATTTGTATTCAGTGTATTTCAATGTTTATATCATGTATTTATGCATATTGTATGTGTAACGACCCGACCGGTCATTTTGAGAGTATTAGCCCCGATCCTCTATTTACTGCCTCCCCTGTATCATTTTATGCTTATGTGACTTGCCGAGGGGATTTGTCTTTGATTTTGGAGTGAAATGGACACTTAGTCCCTAAAACGAAAGCTTAAGTTCTAGGAATTTGACCGTAGTTGGAACTGTGTGAAGATGACTCTGGAATGGGGTTTCGTCGGTTCCGTTAGTTTCGTTGGGTGATTTTGAACTTATGAGCATGTCCGGATTATGAATTGGAGGTCTATAGCTGAATTAGACTTGAAATGGCGAAAGTTGAATTTTTGGAAAGATTGGCCGGGAGTGAATTTTTTGATAGCAGGGTCGGATTCCTATTTCGGAAGTTGGAGTAGATCCATAATATCAATTATGACTTGTATACAAAATTTGAGGTCAATCGGACTTGATTTGATATGTTTCGGCATCGAATGTAGAAGTTAAAAATTCTCAAGTTCATTAAACTTGAATTGGGGGTATAATTCGTGATTTTAGCGTTGTTTGATGTGATTTGAGGTTTTGACTAAGTTCGTATGATATTTTAGGACTTGTTGGTATATTTGGTTGAGGTCTCGGGGGCCTCGGGTAGATTCCGGGTGGTTAACGGACTAGATTTGGACTTGTTGGAATTGCAGAAAAATCTGGCGCATCAGTTGGTGATTTCCTTCATCGCGTTCGCGAGAGAGGTCTCGCGTTCGCGTAAGGCATCTTGGAGGCCAACTGGGTTTTGTTCTTAGCGTTCACGATATGGTTCCCACGTTCGCAAAGCTGGAGCATTGAGCCTACGCGTTCGCGATAGGGACCTCGCTTTCGCGTAGAGGAACGGGCAGGGGGTCCCATGCATTTAGCTTACGCGTTCGCGAAGGAGGTTTTGGACTGAATGAATTTTTATGCTTCGCGAACGCGAGAGTGAGGCCGCGTTCGCAAAGAAGGATTTCACTGGGCAGATATAAACATTTCAAATCAAGGTTTTTGCCATTTTTATCAAAATTTGAGATAGAGAGCTCAGATTTGGAAAAGATTTTGAGGGATTTTCAGAGGCATCGATTGGGTAATGATTCTTCACTTATTTTTGGTTATATCTCACTAATCTATCATTAATTTCACCTTCTAATTTAAGATTTGAGTTGGGAATTTTGGGGGAAATGGAACTAGTTCTTTAACCAAACTTTTGGATTTTGATTGAGATTTTGGTATCGGATTTGAGTAAATTTGGTACGAGTGGACTCGTGGTTGAATGGGGCGTTCATATTTTATAACTTTTGTCGGGTTCCGAAATGTGGGCCCCACGGGCGATTTTAGAGTTAAATTTCGGATTTTTATTAGAAAATTTGTATTTTCATATATAATTTATTCCTATAATTTGTATTGACTGAATCGAATTAATTATGACTAGATTCGAGGCGATCGGAGTTAAAAAATCGAGGGAAAGGCATACTACTTGACTGATTGAGCGTGGTTCGAAGTAAGTGGCTTGTTTAACCCTGTGGGGGGGG